ATCATCAATTCAACTTCAAAATTCCAGGATACTTTCATTTAAATTTATGACATTCTCCATTTTTCTCTTAGTTTTTTATACACTCACATCTATTCTTCTTTAATTTAATTCATTAATTTATTCTATTTTGCATTTACTCTCTTGTATTCCATGCAATCTTCTACAGAATAGGTAACTAGGTTACTAATCTTAGTCATATCCTTTTCATATACAATCTTCATTGGGTATGATTTCAGTGAGCCTTACCTTAGTTTGGCCGGTTTATCAGAAGCACCACTCATTTTTACCCCAGTCTATTCATTCTAGTTTATGCAAACTTGATTCTCTTATGAAGCCAACATATTGTTATTCATACCCCATTACCTAAAAAAGTACAGGCAGGCTTGTATGGCAGGAATTTTCTTTTTTTTCATGCCATAGAACTTGCTTGTTAAAAATAAAGTCTCAGAACCCCTGATCAACTGGCACTGCTTAGTGATAGAAAGTTGGCAATAAAAATGATTTAATATAATTTATGCTAATTTATGCATTAAAATTATTAAAATTTCATTAAAAAGCATGCATCACTTATTCCATTTATTCCAAGCATACAAATTTCACTATTTTGATGTACAAAAATTAAAACGTAAACTTCATAATTACTCTATTAATGTTCTGGCCAAATAAATCAGTATTCAGTGACTATTTTTCCCTCAGAAAAATTATTACAGACAGCTGTGGCTGCATTCCAGATATTTTTTTTAAGTTGATTTTTCCAAAACCTTATCAAAACCCCTTTTTTACATTATGATAATGTGATCTGCTTTGGTCATCTTTACTGCTCCCTCCCTTTGCAAATATCTCTGGTATTCACTTCAGTGAGCCTACCCATATCCCTGCAACTGCTGGATATTGAATTTAGGCAGATAAGAAGTTGTTTTTAAAATCCATACTGCTCTATTTTGTCAATGGCAATATTTGCCACTCAGGAAATCTAAAAATTAATATTCCATATATTTAAAAAGAACTGCAGTAGATTTGAAAACTAAACTATTTAACTCATTTAATTTCAACTTATTGTGGCACTCCTGGACTTTAATGAACTACAACTTCAGCAACTTTAAGCCTGGTACTGTAGTGTAGCTCGGCAATCTTTAGAGATTGCTAGTTCTCTGCTTGGGTTTTGGTATTTCGTTTTTTGACAAACTATCTTTTATGCTTGTCAAGTGTGCTTGTAATGTAGTGAGATAAAACTGTGAAAACGTTTTTAAAAAGCAAAGCATAAATTTAAAAATTCCTGATGTATGTGACACAGCCTTATCATGCATTAATAATGTTCAAAATTCTTAAGGAAGTATCTTATTTAATTCTGATTATACTGTATCAGTATATACTGACAATTCACGTATGTCTGTACAAAAACAGTAATATGGACCAATTAGTATATTAAAACACATATTATTTATTTGATTATAGCCATCCCACTCCAAACGACGGTACTTACTGATGCTAATGTGAAGGGTTACTACAGTAAAGAGCAGGTATTTTATTATATAGTTTTGTTTACATTTTCAAATAATCTGTATATGAAATACACACAAGCCAGAAAGTCTGTCATTATTTTCCTCACTGTAACAAATACAAAGCAATAAACAATTGTCTAAAAAAGAAAGTACACCCACTTTGAGTTCTATGGATTTATGTACCCTGTTTCTCTGAAAATAAGACAGGCTCTTATTTTCTTTTGACCCCACCAAAATAAGCGCTTGGCCTTATTTTCAGGGAGTCTTATTATTTTTGTGGTGCAGGAGGCAGTGAGTGTGGTCATCTCATGGCTGCTGCTGTGTTGCAATATTTTCAGGAAGGGCTTATTTTAGCGCATGGGTTCTAAAGCCCGATTGGGCTTATTATCTGGGAAGGTCTTATTTTCAGAGAAACAGGGTATTAGGACATAATAAAAATCATCTGGTCCTTACCTGTTCTTAAAAGTAGGTAAATACAACCTCAGTTGAACAACAATGCATGATATATTGCACCATGTCATCATTTATTTTACAAAAATAAAGCCAAAATAAAAAAGCCAGTTGTATAAAACTAAGTAAACCTTATGATTCTATAGCTTGTAGAAACACCTTAGCCACAATAACTTGAAGTAATCATTTTCTACATGACTGCATTAGTCTTTCACATTGTTGAAGAATTTTGATCGTTCTTTATAATATTGCTTTAGTTCATTGAGATTTGTAGGTATTTGTTTATGCTCTCTTGAGGTACTGCCACAGCATTTCAATCAGGTTGAGATCTGGACTTTGACTGGGCCATTGCAAGACTTGGTTCTGTTCCTTTTCAACCATTCTGTTATAAATTTGCTGGTGTGCTTGGGATCATTGTTCTGTTGCAAGACCCAATGTCAGCCAAGCTTTTTCTGGCAGACAGATAACCTCACATTTAACTCTAGAATATTTTAATATACAGAGGAGTTCATGATCCATTCAATGACTATAAGGTGTCCAGGTCTTCTGGCTGCTAAACAAACCCAAATCATCACTCCTCCACCACTGTGCTTGACACTTGGTATGTTTGTGCTGATAAGCTATGTTTGGTTTTTGTCAAACATGGCACTGTGCATTATTGCCAAATATGTTCCTCGCTTCTGTCCAAATGAGTGTGTTCTAAAAGTCTTGTGATTTGTTCACGTCAATTTTGCAAACCTAAGTGATACTGCTATGTTCTTTTAGAGAGAATAGGCTTTCTCTTTTTCTAATTGTACTGTCATGAAACTTATCATTTAAGAAACTGAAGTTTGTAGTCTGAGATGTAACTGTCATATTTTTTTTCAATTCTGAGTCTTGCACGGTCTGATCTAATGGTGAACTTGGTAAATCTACTCCTGGGGAAGATTGGCAATGTCTTGAATGTTTTTCACTTATGAACAATCTTCCTCACTGTAGAATACTGGACTTTAAATTGTTTTGAAATGTCCTTAAAAGCCTTCCCAAATTGATGGGCAGCAACAATTGCTGATCTCAAATCATCGCTAATCTCTTTACTCCTTGGTATTGTATTAACCTCAAAGCCAGAGACCAGCAAACTCCTAAAACTTTGGCTTTTATAAAGGTAGCTATACTTGCTGATGAGCAACAGATGAAGGGCACTTGATTAGCAATACCTGGCTGTTAAATAGTCTGTTCATATCGATGGAAGCAGTAAAGATGTATTAGTTTTTCATAGACGGCTTTTCTATTTTGACTTTCTTTTTGTAAAATAAATGATGACATGGTGTAACATGCCATGTGTTCCTGTTCATCTGAGGCTGTATTTACCTACTTTTAAGGAGCAGATAATTTTCACTATGTTCTACATAAAACCATACAACTCAGAGGGTGTACTTTCTTTTTCACATCACTGTAGACAAGACCTTTTTCAATATAATTATTGCAGAAGGCATTTACCAACACAATATCACTTTTAGTCAGGTAAATGTAACTTTTAAAGTTCTTGCTCATTTTATTCATAATCATTTAATGATTTCAAATGTTAATCCTTTTACAGCCACAAAAATACTACAAAAATGACAATTTTCTTTCTTAAAGAAAAACCTTTGTAGGTTATATGCTATAGGAAACTATATAGCAGTATTAATTTCATACAGTGAGCAGAGCTGCTAGTGATCATATAAATCAACTGGAAGTTTTTAGATTAATTTTAAAAATCTGCTAATTAAAGTGAACAGTTCAATTCAAAATAAACAATCTTATAAATATGCAAATATTTACAAAACTTTAAGTGGCACTTCTTAAATGAGGTTCTCTTTCAGTACAGTATAGAATGTTACTTCCATAACAGTACATATTGAGACATGTCCAGGGATTATCTGAAATAAAAAATACTTCCATTGATAAAATATTCTTAGCAAAAATACATTATGGGTTAAAATTGTTCAGAATAATCACTTTGCCATATTGTAATCTGCTTACAAAATCTAAGTATTTTAATATTAGCACTTTAAATATTGATATTTAAATCAGAAATGAACTGAAGTTCATTATTGTTTTTTTAACCAATACTGCTCTAGGATACACTTACTCATTCCTATTGAGAAGTAAATCTTTTCTACTCAAACACATTTATTTCCAAACAATTACTGCAGCCCAAAATAGAATGCTGTGAAAAGAGAATTATTGAATTTGAGTAGAAAAAGACAGGAATACATTCTTATCTCTAAAAATAATCAGCTCTGCCCCTTCCTTCTGCAGATGAGCTTCTGACTGCTCATCCATTTACCTGTTCAGTAACATTATTTTGTCTACAGATCTTGACATACTTAGGTGGTTCAGAGAGCACCAGTGTGAACAAAGGATCATTTTCATTCAGCACTTGTTCTCATCACATCCCAAGAGTTTGCATCTCTTGAAAGCATTCTTATAAAAAGCTGGTTCCTTAATTCTCATTAAAGGAAATTGGACAGGAGATTCAAACTGACCCTCTAAATATTCTTTAAATTCTCTTAAAATAACTAAATAATCATAAACTATTCATGTCACCATTTAGAAATGTTTAGTTATGTGCTAAGTGCTGAACGAAGAAGTAAAATTACAATTTCTCAATTTCGAGGCAATCTCTGCTTCTCCGGAAAACACCTTCCATTTCTCATACATTCACTTCCACCTCGTTATCTAATCTCCCATACGTCCTTCTCAGTCATCATCCCCCCACAATTTATCTTCATTTACCCGCAGACTTGCTGTATCTTCACAGCCTCACTTACCCTACCAGTACCCCTTCTAATTCAAGCCCTACTGTATTTAAATAGAGGAGGGGCTTTCAGAGACAACTCTCCCAGACTGCCCTTCGTAGCAAGCCCCACCCCTCTTGCCCTATAGACAACCCCCACCTTAACTTGCGTGGGTCCCATCCCCCGCCCCCAAGCACGACAAAGAGCCCCTGAGCGGGTGTGTCTTTCCCGTCCTCTGCCCCTCGCCCGTTTACTCGCTAGCCCACTCCCTGGTAATAGCACCTACTGCCGCCGGTGGCTTCCCGCCCACCGCGCTGCCTTTCACTTTCTGTCCGAGCGTCGGGTTCACTTCACTGATCTTCCCTGTCTTCTTGTCCCCAGCTTCGGACAACAGAGCGCCAAACCCCGCGGCGGCCCAATGGCCACCGCTCTCATTGGAGAAAACCTGCCGTCGTCGGGATTGGATATCTCTCCCCCTCCCCGCCCAGCAGTGCTAGGCAGCTACCAATCGGCGGCAGGAGGAGGCAGTGTCAGTGGCAATGTAGAGGTGGAGAATTCGTTTCTCAACTCCCCCCTCCTCCCCACGTGCGGGGCGGGAAAGGAGAGGGAAGTTCTTTGTTCTCGCGCTGGCTGGCTAGAAGAGATGGGGAGCTTTCTCCTCTTTTCAAAAACTTAATACCCCCCCCTTTTCTTTACCGGCAAGGTCTGTTCCCGTATACTTTGCGTAAAGAGGTGGCTGAAGCGTGAAAAGTCTTCTTTCTGGGGTGCGATCGGAGAAAGAAAATTCAAGCCGTGCTTTAAACAGAAGGAATAAGTGTCCTAGCGGAGCATTCGCTCATATCGGCTCTTTAAATCAGGCTACCGTTAACGGTCTCAATAGCTGGAAATCCCCCCCCCCTTTTTTTGCGCGCGCGCGGAAGTGCCAGTGAGCGCGACTGCTGTGGAACACAAATGAGCGCCTCGAGATTGGGCTCGGTGCCCAAATCCCGCCGTCTCCTGTTGCAGTCGCCGCCTACTCGGAGAGTTGCTGTTTGCTCCAATAATGAAACTGATGTAGGCAAAGCGTTGTCGAGCGAATTTGCCCAAAATATTTCCCTTATTTCGAACAGTATTATATTGCATCAGCGGATATTCAATACCCACATTATATCAAGAAATACTTAATAGGTGGATGGTGCTTTTGTTTTCAAATTCAGCCGCAAATCATATTACATAATAACGTAGACAAAATTGGCAATTATCTTGAACTTAGAATTATATATTTCCCGCACCTTAGAAACTTAGGCTGCAACTGCTATAAAGGCATGTATACATTTTTTCATTAAAATCGATAAAGTTGAATTGTGGTGCACTCTAACCTCATGCCACCCATGCCTTGGAGACAATTGTACTTCAGAGTATGTAATTTGGGCTGATCGGCAGTAGTATATTTTATCTTGAATGCAGCAGGTAGTACTCAACTTACAACTACAATTGAGCCCAAAATTTTTGCTGATGTGAAATATTTATTAAATGAATTTTGCTCCATTTTATGACTTTTTATGCTACAGTTAAGTGAATTGCTGCTGCTGTTCAGTTAGTTAAATGAATCTGGCTTCCCCATTCACTTTGCTTATCAAAAGGTGATCACATGACCCCAGGATACTGCAACCATCCTAATTTTGATCACCTGACTGGGGATGATGTAATGGTGGTAAGTGAAAAATGTTCATCTCACTTTTCTCAGTGCTATTGTAACTTTGAACAGTCACTGAATAAACTGTTGTAAGTTATTTTTATTCAGAAGAAAGCCTTACTGGCTTTTTTTGCAGGACATAAATTTTCAGTTAACCATGATATATCAAATTAGTTATTAAAGTCAAATGAAAAATGGGTCTAAGATGAAATATAGAGAAAACTAATTTAATGGCCATAGGTTGAGCACCCAAACACTACCTATCATATTTTTATGAGTATGGCACACCTTTGAATTTTCACTGAATACAGTATTTGTTTCCTCCTGAAACACCACCCCCTTCACTAAAATGGCTGTGCATAGTTTTTAGGAGCAGAGTGCTCCGAGGGGCTGGGGAGGGCAAAAATGAGTGAAAAACAAGCCGTTTTTTGCTCAATTTTGCCCCACCCCCACTCTATAAGCTTCCTAAAGCCTATGCATGCCCTTTTTTTTACAACAAACAGAACCGTTTGGGGGGGGCACCCCCAAGAGCACTCTACAAGCTTCCTAAAGATTATGCCTGTCCTCTTTTAAAAAAAAAACAAAAACAGGCCCATTTTCATGAAAAATGGGCCATTTTGGGGAGGTCTGCAGAGTACAAAACCTTTTTTTTAAAATTGCCTCTTCAAAACCTTGGTGTGTCTTATACTCCAAAAAATACAGTATATGCTGTACATAATAATAAATTCAATACCTTAATTTATCGATAAGCTCTCTCTTTTAGGACTGATCGTCTACAGTAAAGGTACTGGCAGTCAAGAAATATTCTGCAAACCCATACTTGGTAAAAGGGGCAATGCATCTTAGAAAATATACTTAGAAGCTGTGATGTGTCAATACATACAAAGATCAGATTTGTACAAGAAGAGTTGTGACAAATATGGAAATGAAAGTTCCCAAAAGGAGAGCTTTCAACCATGAAGGTCTAACAGTCAGGACAAAAGTTCTGGAAAGAAATTTACAGTATCCTATTTTCTATGCCAATTAAAGCAGGTTTCAAGCAAGCAGAAGCCCCAAAATTCTTCACAGCCATGGTTTTCCTTTAAGTTACTGACTGCACATTTCCAAGGGATGGCTCTTGAATATGTCCTAGCTCTTATTTTGTGAGGCCAAATGGAGATTAGCCAGTATGCAATCCAGGCTATTTAGTATTTTAAAATTACACACAATGAGCCCTGGGACTCCTACTCATGAGACCACCAGTACAACATATCCTGCTTTACTGGGAACTGGGCATCATCATTTGTGAGTCACAGTCAGGGCTTGGGTTTTGGAGATCCTTTCTGCTAACTCTTCAAGTGGGGGAATTGTGCCCTCCCCCATGAAATTAGCAAGGAGATATGACTGCTTGGGCTTTAGTGCCACAGAGAAAAAAATCACTTGGGGAAGCTTTGTATGGAGGTAAGAGAAGATAGTTTCAGTCTAATTCTGAATAGGATTTCCCCTGTGTGTGTGTGTGTGTGTGTGTGTGTGTGTGTGTGTGTGTGTAGCTGCTTCTACAGTACAGACATTTTGGACAAATTTCCCTCCCACCAGACAGAAATCTAAGGTGTTCAGAACTTGCTGTGCCTGCCACTCTCAAATACAATCCTTACATGAGTACAATATAACTGAGACAAGAAAGGAAACCTTACAATTAATTTCTGTGAATGAAGCCAAGAAAGAAAAACCTTACAGTCAATTTCCACCCCCATAGTTTTTACAGCTGTCTTCTGGGGATTGAAAAGAGTCTTTCTGTCTTACTTGTACATCTCAGGGTCCTTTCTGCTAGGTGGTATGCTTGGTGATAAGGCTGGTCAATCAGGCTTGGGAAGGTCTGCTCCACTCTAGCTGTTGTGATGACTTTCTAATGGAGGGCTGGATTCAAACCCAATTCCTGACTCAGTGAATGGAAGGTCTCCTCTAGAAGCATCTGGATCCATGTGCTCTACTCATCTGTGCAGGGCTGAAAGACATGAGAACAAGGTCCTTTCCCCCCTTTCTGGGTGAGAAAGGCATTATAGGGGAATAAGAGATTGAGAGAAAGAGTGGGGTGGGTAGATGGCTTGCAGGCAGAGTTTGAAAAGGAACAACAAATCAGTATTGCAGTTATTAAACAGGTAAACTGGTAACAATATGGGGATATCACAGATGAGAAAAGGGAGCTGGATTCACATGCTTCAGGAAAGATATGAACAGATGAAATCATTTAAACACATACAGTAAGTGCAAGACTGATTTTTCCCCCCGGTAAATGAACTTCAAATATTCCCTCATAATCTTAGGTTGTTACTTTAAAGTGCAGAGAGGGAAGGAAGGAAGAATACTTTGCTTTATTCTGTTTTTGTTGGCCAAACAAACACAAGACAAAGGCTCCTTTTTTTCTTCCTTTCCTCTTCACTCAGCTTTATGGGCCCAACAAAACAAAGCGAAGGCAATTTCTGCCAGTGTACTCTTTTCTTTCTTTGAACAATTTAAAATTCTTGTCTTTTTGGATTAGAGATATTTTACAATTACAATTACCTTGAGGGTGCACAAAGACCTAGACACACACACACACAAAAACAAGGAGGCCAAAGAGAGGAAAACAGAACTTTGAGGTTTACACACACATTAGTCATTCCCGCCATAAATCTCAGTTAAATTAGGGAATTAGGCACAAATTAGGCACAAATCTTAACAAACATACCATGTGGCTGCATAGAAGACAGAGAAAGATACAAACAGACAAGAAAAAACAAAATCCCCAACATTTTTCCTTTTCTTTTAAGTACCTTTATTTAGCCAAATTGATTTTCGTATGTCATCCCTCAGCAAAGCTGATTTCTTACATATTTTTCTTTCTTTTTATTCATGCTGACTAGGACAGGCATCTGCCATTTGTCCCAAGCCTCAATCAAATCTCCAATGGGGGTTCCTATCAAGACCTTCAAACTACAGTTCCCATGTTCCCCTTCCAATGCAGGGCTCACTTCAGCTTAGTCAAGTCAACAAGGTATCAGTTTTGTGGACTGAAAATCTTTGGGGGAGACTCCGGTTTCCTTACAGAGTATGTGCACTCCCCTCAAATGGAAACTCAAGCCAAGTTTTTGGACTTGGGGGAAAAACCATTCAGGAGCACTTGCCATCCCCCCAGGAGACAAGTACTGGCCCTCCTAACTCAAGCCACAGTTTTCGGACTGGGAATAGAGACAGAGGTGGGTTCCTACCAGTTGGCACCTATTCGGTAGAACCGGTTCGTCAAATCTAC